GCTCATGATAACAACATCAAGGATGCAGTCTCTACAGTAGAAAGCCATGCAAAGTTAGAGTACTTCTTTTAATATGGGAAGGGCATACACATCAACTTGAACTTCAATACAAATTTGAAATACGAACACAAATTTCACAAACAAGGCACAGATAACAAATATTTTATACTTTATATAACACGAGTTGTACTTGAAACTCAACAGCTTCTGAATAGGGTTCTTGACAAACTGCACAGAAACACATAATATTAACACCTCCATATCTAAAACTGCTCAGAAGTACCAGGTTCGGAGCAGTGGCTTTGTAGCTAAGGACCTGCACCTGTGCCTGGAAGGCTACCTCTTCATATCCTGTGGCCGGCAGAGGAATCCTACTCCGTTGGGCCCCTGAGCATGGCCCTTAAACCCAACTGCTCCAGGGGCACCGTATAAATGGCTGACCCTGCGCTCTGACCCCAAGCTTCTCTCCTGTCTTTGTCATGGAGAGCAAGTTGGGGTATGTGAAAAGACAAATTCCTAATACAATAAATTTTAATGGCCAATATCTTATCTTAGTCTTTATGCGTCATTCCAGACATTCACTTCTGCTATTTTGAAATGGTACTACGTTTGTCAAAGATTACTTGTTTCTGCTGCCTTAATGACATTTCTAAGTACTGACAAGTCATATGGAGTTGAGATTTTCATATTAGTTAGGAGGAGGACAAGGGGTAAGCATATGTGACTACAGAGGAGCTAGGAGAAAAAGGTATTTTGCTTAACCGAGAATCTCCCAAGGACACAAAAATGATGAAGGAAGAGGCTCAAGAATACAATGGAAATATAATTACACCTGCTTATCTTTATCTGTACCTCTACTCTTCAAAATTAATTTTCTGTCATTTATGGGGACAGAAAATGTGGTAGCATCACATTGCAAGATCAAATTAACCCAAATTTACAATTTAATCAGACAACTCTTCTATAAATGGCTTCGGGTAATATAGTACAAAATACCTCTATTTTATAAAAATACTTTGAAATTTTCCAACAGAAACTTGTTACAAGCTTGGGAAGGTTACATTTGGAAGGCAAACCACTTTTTATTTATCTAACAATGTGAGAATTTACATTCATATTTGTGTAGACTTTCAAACAATAACAAATTCACTTGATATTCTGGACCATGTAGAGCAAAAACATATTTCAGATTTTTTAAGTTAACTTCTTTTTGCTAATAAGGCAAAAGTGGAGTGGTAAATTTGTTTGGATTCCTCTATCAGATAGAAAAAGTGGAATGTGTGCATTAGCTATATATATATATACACACACAATTTTCCTAATTACCCTGTACATGGCAAAGAAATCTCAGTATGATTCAAAATGTGCAACAGATCAAACAAGTAGAATTAAGCCATGTTTCACCATTTTCTTAGGAAACATTTTTGGTAAGTTAAATCATTTTAATGTGTTTCATGTAGAAATAGGTGATACAAGAGGAAACATGAATCTTTATTTCTCATTAAAAATTTAGCTACATTACAAAAAATATTTAATATTTTCTGTACTACACTGGAACTTGCAGAACCTTTAAGGTAATACATCATAAATTGTGGTCTTGAATTTACCACATTAGTCAATAGTGTAAAAGAAGAATACCCTCTTGTAAACTACAGTGCTGTATCACTACAAAATAAGAGCTTTTGCCTGCAAAAGCCAAAAAAAGGTCTTCTGAATTCTAATTACATCATTCAAATTAGACATGACTTCATTTGAAACAGTCTAATTTTACTCCGTAAATAATTTTTACTATAAATAATGGAGCACACACAAAACAATTTGTTGTTAAACAGCCTGTTCTGAATGTAAGCCCACGAAGTGGTATAGCAATTATTTTACTTGAGCTATACATCTGATTTAAAGGTTTCTCTCATAAATCTGCCCTTTTAATTTTGTTTTCAATGTGCTGTATTAAGAGAGGGAATAATTTCCCAGCACAAAGTAATCTGAGCCTATCTATGCTTTGTGAGCTACTCAATATCTGTAATTGTAATAACTACATTACTCTTTGCTGCTGTTTCAGTGAAAGAATCTTATTTTTTGTTCTAGTCACCTGCCTGAGATTAGAATTTAAATTTAGCAGTGAAAGTCAAAGACTTTTCAGAATGTAGCCATCTGAACAAGCCATCGCTCTTATACACTATGTATGGTGGAACACTGAAATATGGAACACTTATGAATGTAACTTGCCATAGGGAATCCCACAGATAATGTCAGCAAGCACTGTGCAGCAGCATGTGATGTCATGTAGCACATGCAAGCCATCACGTGCTGCCAGCTGTATACTGTCAGCGTCTGGAGAAGAACATTGCCCCTCATCCCATTTGTAAACGTGTCAGGTGTCATTTCTTCAAAGTGCACCATTTTCAGAATACAACAGCTCAAAAAAACTCCTGTAATACATTCTGTCCTCTTTATCCACTGCCTGAACCTAAATAGTTGCACAACAGGTCTTCCCAAAGAAGCATCAAGTAGGGCAGAAACACAAATAATAAAAGAAAGGAACACTTTAGCATGCAAAAGTGCATTCCTATGACACAGTATCTTAATCTACTCCAGTTTATACCTCAAACTCACAGAAATAGGTTTGCAGTGATGCAGCTCATACAGCAAACGATTTTATGGGTTTCATTCTTTGATGAACCTACTTTCTACAAAATGAAAATAAAATCATGCTTATTCAAATGTAATGCTTCCAAATGATTAACATTTAATTCATTTTACCAAAAACTAGCAACACAAAGCATAAATTGCTTCCAAAAGAAACACATGGTACAATAATAATAATAATAATAATACAAAATCCTGCTAAGGATAGGGTACACTGATATTTTTAAATTTCTGATGGGTGAAAATCTCTATAGCACAAAGCCTTAAACAAGCACAGGCCCATCTACAGCAGTTCTGTGCTAGAGCGAGCACCCTTTTGGAAGAGATTTTTTAATTGGCTTGGATTCAAAACAAGTCTAATGATCACCTCTGGGAGACAACAGAGGTTTGAATGCTGGCAAAATGTTGTGCAGTTCACACTGCATCAAGCCTGTCAGAACCTGAGCCTTCCTGAAAACAGTCTGACTCACTTCCTGCTTTATTCCAGCTTTCTGCAGAATGATTTAACAGATTCTCAATTGAGCACTATGCACCAAGTTTCAACCATTATCATGGCCCATCTAGTAAGTGCATGAACTACTTTTCAATGTAGAGAAAAAGTATTTTACAAAAAGGTTTAGTAAAGCGGTCAAACAAGGTTTCTAAAAGTGCTCCAGGCACTCAAAACTCTATTCTAGTTGCATTTGCAGGTGGTGTACTTAGTGACATTCTATCAATTATGGAAAAATGAAAGAACAAATACATTAAATAAGTCAAATCTTCCATTTTCCAGAGCATATCTTTATAGCCACTGGAGCTTACAGAATAAAATCATTACAGTAACCATTAAAGCAACAGAACTTGTGAGGACCAATCAGGGATGAACTGATAATTTTATCACCTCTTTACTTAAGATGAAAAGTATGATTCAGATTCTATTCAATACAGTTCCTCTGTTACATGCTCACTCCAATACTTAATACAGAGTCCTGGCACACTAGAATGAGCAGGGTAAATACTGGAAATACAGGTTTAACAAAACACCTATCACAAACTGGGGCTGACCACTGCATGTGTATTTTAATGTGCTCAATGCAGGACTGATTGAAGACAGTCATGGATATCAGGGCTTGACAGCCTCCTTCTGCTTGCAACCTTTCTTGTGTTCTCCTTTAAATCATAATTGTTGCAACTTATGAGCAAGTTCAGCAGGAAAGAAATCTTTTGTATGCTTTCCTCAATGTCATAGATGGAGTTATCAATATGCAAATTCAGGATGAGGTTGTCAGTATTAGTCATTATGAGGTCACTCCATTAGTGGAAGCAAGATGCCTGTTGCACAACATCTGGCTCAATTACAAGTTTCAAACATAAGGATAGTTCATGAAGCAGAACAAAACCTACACTTACTTGTACTGTCCATCCATTTTATAACTAAAGTAATTTACTTACTACAATGGAAAAACAGAGAATCAGTTCTATACTTTGCCATTTCAACAGTGTAATGACAAAAACTGTGCATAAAAGCCATTTCATTATCTTGTATTGTAGATCTGTAAATGACATTTCATGACATCTGCCCAAATTATTTTCTTTAAAAAACCTTTGCTGTCCAAGTACTGTAATTGGAGGTCAAGGTTGACTGATTCTTCGATTCTTATTACAATTTGAGCTGTTTTTTTTTTCTTTGACCCTCTAGTTTAAATTCATTAAAATAATTGTGCTTGATAAGGATATGCTCTGAACATTATATACTGTAACTTGTGGTGCTTACCTTATTGACACTTTGGATACATTTGGGTTTTATTTTTTACCTTTATACAAACATATGAAGACCATTTGGGGAGTCTTAACACATTCTGACAGTACCAATCAGGTGGGTACTGGTCAGAGTTGGGGGAAATGATTTTCAAAAAGAAATCCAGTGCTGTTACAAATTACTTATGTAAGGATTAACCAAATTATCAAGATGTTGAGAGGAAATCACTGTAATTAGTCAATTATAGATTATCTAATTTTAATTGATCTATAATGGAGTGTGTATAGTTACCATGTAATATAATACATTATCTATAAAAAGCAAATTTTCTTATAATTTAACAAAAAAGTAATTGCTTAGACTAACTTGCAACATATATATTCTCCCTAACACTGAGGATATTGCTTCCTTCTGGTGATGTCACTAAGTGAAAAAAAGAAATCCCACAGTCCTGCTATTTTGTGCACCAGATTTGACTGCAATGACACTACACTTTGAATATGCCTCTTAACGTCTTAATAACCCTAGATGCAGGTCGTATATCTGCTGCGGTCACTCAGTACCTTTCAGGAACTGCAAGACAAGACATTCTCTGGAAATCGGCTCGGGTTACCTGAGGGCAAGCCTTTGCCTCTCAAACGTTCTCGGATCTCCTTGCTTCGTTCTGGTAGTGACTCCCTTTCACTTTTTGACAACAGGCTATCCAACTGCGACACAAACAGAAATGTAACTTGTAGTGCTGTTATGTTTGTATAGAACCAGAAATTATGACTATTCAGTCTACTGACCCACTGTCAGAGATTTCTATTAATCAGTGCCATTACTGCCAGAGATTTCAATTACATTGGTATAGTAATACGTTTAATAATAATGTTAGCAAAAATTAATTTGACAGGCAATGCTGATTTACTATTTGAATAACCAAGCCTTTTGCTTTGGTTCTTTAAAATAGTCTTTTTTCAGCTTTGTGATTAGCACAAATTAATGTTTAGGAATTTTTAAGAAGGCCATTTTTGAACGCAAAATTTAACAAGGTAAGAAAATGGTGCATATTACCTGAGATAGACTGCCTAACACCAATCTGACTAGTTTCCGGACGTAGGAGAAAGAGGGCTCACAGCTGGTGTTCCTGACGTGCGCGCTACAGGCATCTAGCACAGTCCGCACCGATACTCGAGTGTGATCGGCATCATCACACATGTTCAGCATGATGCTGTTGAGATGCTCTCCTAGATTGATTGGCTGAAAGAGGCAGAAGAAAAACATTTTGGTACTGTTTTTTAAAGCAAGACCCTCAATCATTTACAGTCTTTTAAAAAATGTCTTGCAAAACAACAGACTTGGGATTTTCACCACTTCTGATCTCTGACATTTCGGGGTGGGGGGTTGGACATGGAGTTTAGCAAAAAAAAAGTCTACAAAACTTTCCAACATGTCTGGAGAAACATTTATGCTCAATTGTAAATAATTCAAAACTGTAAATTAAAAAGTGGTAAAAATGCAAACAAATGAAATGAGAAATATAATTATCCTGTTTGTTAGAACAAACATAACCAAACATTTAGACAACTCTTTTGATGCCTGTCTGCAAATTAAACTTAAGTACTGTAATTTCAACCCTTCAGAACTCTGTTAACAAAAACACTCAAAAGGAATTGTAAGACATGAGCTGTGGTGTGATCGTTTTTTTTTTTGTTTGTTTGTTTTTATTAAGATGAAAAGTTGTTTTCTCTCTGGAACTCTTACCTGGCTCTGGGGCACTTTGTAGTCTGCACCCCAAAACAAGGTCATCCCCAAAGAGTACATATGCATCTGTAATGAATAACAGTTAATATTCATGAACCAAAGTCTGTTTAGGTCTAAATACCAGTTAACATAGTTCAAAAAAAGAAAAACACATTGAAATACCCAACAGTTTCAGGGCTGGCATTCACTAATGAGGTTTGCTTAGTAAATTCTTGGCAAAGGTTCTTAAATTAAGAACTTAAACTTTACCAACAAGAGGCCATTTGGCACAATTTCATTTAAGACTCAATAATTATATTGAGGTGTTTCTTTAAAAAACACATTTTTAACTTGAACAAGGTGACTTCCGAGTTAAAAAAGTTAAGCTTCTTTATGAAATAGTCATGAAACAATTATTTCTTATACTTAGAAACTGGTAAATATGCTAAAATATGCTAAAATGTTGTCTTTCAGCTTCTGTATAAAGGCTCTGCAAGGCCACTGAGAGCCCAGGAGGTTCTGAACCCAGTAGGTTCCTGGGACCGTAAGGTCTTGATTTGAGGAACAGGACTGGAAAGAACCACACTGGATCTGGAGCCATGTTATCCTGTACTGTGACAAAGGACCTGTGAATAACAACCATTTTCGTACTTTTTTTTACTTGTTTCACATTCAGTTAAAATCGTTTGTGTTATGATCACCAACAACGTAAAGATAATTAGTAACAGAATAAGTAACTTTTCCATGAAAGGTCATTTCCAACAAAAAGAAAGAAGTGGAGCAAGTCAGTGCACCATCTTTTACTGGCTGATGATCTCCATTCTTAAAATCACCTTTGATTTGTTTCCCCAGTAAAACCTGGGCCATAACACATGAGAATGGTATCCAGGCAGAAAGTAAATAAATCAGTGAAGTGAAAACATTTGTGAAGTAAACTCAGTGAAACGGTTAACCTTGTGATTACTTCCAAGCAATCTTAAAACTAGTTACATTGTTAAAGCTCGACTCTTCAGGAAACACATAAGCAAGACCCCTGGATCAATTAGCCAAGTAAACAAGAAAGGCCGTAAAATTTCTTCAGGTATTACATTATATAACTACACTTCACAGTTCTTGTAGAATTATGAAGAACTATTTGGAAATAAAAAATGACATTTTAAACTAAAAGCAATTCCTAATTCCTTATATCACAGCTAAAATGTTACCAGATTTTCTTCTAAGCAAATAACGGACTTCGTTAAGAATGTTCAGTTCATTTAATTGATACACATAAAAACATTTAGAAGTGTGCAAAGTAGCAGCGGAAGCTGAAATGCTCCTACAGCATGAAGGCAAGCTGCCACAGCTTACAGTTTTCTCCTGATCGTAGTTAATTATAACTAGTGGCATACATCATGCTCACCAGATTCAGAAAAAAAGCAAAGTGGAGCCTAAGAATGAATTGATCACACGCAGAATATATTCAATTTGTTTATAATAGCCCCAACTGCAACAAACACCACACGCTAGTGTTCAAATTTATTCTAGGAAAAAACTAGAGAAATCCTCCCTGCAATGCCTTTGTCATCTGTAAAAACAAAAAGACCGCTCCTATCAAGAAAATAAAGTGTTTCATGTCAAGACTATTGTACACTGCTAGGTAAGATTCCACACTTACAGGAGAAACTGTTTTTTTAGGGGTAACTTCCCCCACGTCCAATGTTGAAAATAGTATTCATAGAATATAATACATGGGTGTGTGATTCTCAGTGGACGTGTCAGCATTGGATCAGTTAATACTGTATGTCCTTCCACATTCAAATTCCAATGCTGGTCTCCAACACTAGCAGCACATTTCAACTGACCGATAACATAGTTCAGTGGACTTATATTTAGTGATGCCAAGCATAAAACAAGTTTTCTTTCTTGAGGAGTCTTCTGTGGTTTACAACCTAATTGATACATCTTTACCATCAGAGACATTAACTCGTTAAAAAAAAACACCACCTCGCACACGCCTCTGCCCCAACTCCACCCAGGCCTAAGGGGAAATCTGTACCGTACCTTCTCGATGTCTGACAGGGAAGATGGGGACAGCCCTTGCAGGACCTCGGGGGCAGTGAAAGCACGCAGATCCTGCTGAGTGACATTCTCGTCAGTGAAGGATACATTTCCAGAGGGGAGCAGCAGCAGAGTCCAGGGAGAGATGATAAACCCAAGGGCAGAGGGGTCCGCTGAAATCAAAAGCAGCAGAAGTTATTAAAGCAATCAGCCACTGTATGAACTGTATTTTTAGTTGCAGGCCTAAGGGGTGATTTTGTTCTTTGTAGGTTTTTTCACTTTTCTGGAAAAAAAAGTAGTTTAACACAGTCTTATATAGTAACTATATACAAGATACCTAATTTTAGAAAATTTTCCACTACCGGATATGGAGCTAAACAACCAAATTCTTAAAAACTACAAAGTGCAAATTAACAACTGCCAACAAAAATACAAATCTAGACCTTTACTAGTTTTGAAAGAGCAATAAACAATCCACTATACTGTAAATATTACTGAAATTCTTCGGTATGAAGTAACCTTGTAGCATTCATTCTGGAACGAATGAAGGCAGGAATCTTGGGGGAAAATGTTGAGACAGGAAGACAATGCATCTTAATCTGGGACAGCGGTCACAAATAATAGTAATAATACCTTAAGAATTAACTGGCCAGCTGCCATAGTTTTGCAGCTTTGCAATTAAATGGACAACTTACTGTACATAAAAAAAATATTTTTCCTAAATCCTTGGCTGTAGAAAAAAGCATAGTAAGATCATGTATTAACTATTTTCACAAAAATGAGCTGGGCAAATAAGACTAGCCACTTAGGATTTAAGAACTATTTTTTTCTACTTTGAACCAAACAGCCAAAACTGAAGCTTCTATTTTAATCCAGCATTCCTACTCAGTTTGAACAGACAGGATAAAAGATCTATTGAATAACTAATTCTACTGTTATTATATTAGTAGTTTATACTGAAAAAAAACATCATTACACGGTCCTTAAATATAGCATCTTCATCATCAAGAATTCATACACTGATCCATTTACTGTCCATTCTTATTTGATATAGTAAAATACACTTTCAATCTATTTTTTATTTATTGCAAAATACTGTGAACAAGTGCCTTTTTTAATATAGGTCTTTGCATCACGGAATTAAATGGGTTTTTAAACCCACAACAGAAAAAAAAAACACATCCTGTTTTCACTTCCAATGATCCTTTAGGCTTGCAGTGCATCATTCAAGATGACTAATACAATTCCTAGAGTTCATGTGGTCAAGTCCAAGAAAAAAGTAGAGCTTGGTTTCAAGTGGACCAAGATAAAGTGTAATGAAAAGTGGCCATCAACTTTCCCAAAACACAATGCCTTCATCAAAACAAAACAGGAAGATTGAAAATGTTTTTGTATGATGGAGAGTCACTATTCTGCCTTCCATCCTGGTTATATAATGCTTCAATCTGACTATTCCTCTACTCGGGTAGCTCACAAACTGATAAACTTTGAAATACAGTAAAATTAACTTTTTTAGCAACAGAGATAAAATTAAGGATTTCACCAACTACTTGTTGTGACTTGTTTCTTAGGTCTGTCACCTTAGCCTTGTACAACACATAAATTCTGTATTATACATCTTTTTGGGTAGTAGATTTATTTCACACAAATATAATTCAAATGACGTTTTACTATTATATTCACATCCCAAGACTATCCATGCAAATCTGCTTGAAATATATTCAATAACTAGAAATATCCAACATATGGTGCTAGCCTATAAAATCTGTCAGCAGACATGACATAAGCAAAACAACTGCATCCAAAATGCTTCATAAAGTATAAATTTGATACAGTGAGTTACAGTAAATGTCCATTAGTCAGACTACATATAGTAACACTAAAAAGAAAGCTGGTCACAACCTGTGAATAAATCCTATTATACAATCATAAGTATACCAGAAATATTATACAAATACTGTGTAATATTATGGTCCAGTATTAGCACAACTTTTTCCAAATCCTGCTTCTGAAGTATTTTTTCCCCAAAACACCCAACACATACTCTTGCAAAAACTCTGTGGCCTCCTTGCAAAGAGAATATACATGACTCCACCTAAATCAGCAAACTGAGCACTCCCTGATAAGTTTATTTTAACAGCTGGTTCCAATACTATGTGCAAGATCCAGCATACCAAATATGCACATATCGGTCTTAAGCCACAATAGCTTTTTATGGTTACTACCTGGACCAAGTGGTATTTGAAAGTTATCACAAGCCAGAAACATTTAAAAGTAACACCGCCTGTTCTAAACCACACATAAAATGTGTTCAAATACAAGTGAAAAACCACAACACATAATTTACAAACCTAAACTTGGCTGAAAATACCTGAAAAATCAGATTTTTCTCATTTCAGAGTTAATTTGAAATCAACTATTACATTTGTTATTTGGCATAATATCAATAACTGTACAGTGTTGGACCCTGTACAGTGCTGACATTTAATGCAAGATACAAAAAATATTTCCATCTCGACATAACATATGCCCATTTTTTTTTAAATGTTAAAACTTTCATATATTTATAGGACATACACAGTGGGTTTTCCAGGATGCCACAAAAGAATAACTTTACTACTGGAGATGCAACACCAAGTTGCTATTTTCACTTGTATCCAGAAATGTGTACAGTATATACCTACAGTACCCCTGTCAATGACTAAAGAAGTAGCAACTATCTTCTGTTTACGTATGGTAAAAAACAAGATGCAAATATAAGTTCATTTGCATTTTTAATATTTTAACTTCGATTTAATTAGAAGCAGCACTGTGGCATGGTGGTTGGTGATGTTTCTTCACAGCTCCAGGGTCTTGGGTTTAGACCTCAGCCATGAGTTTGTGCATTTCCCTTCCCCAGCTCCCCATGTCCTGAGTGCTCCGGTTTCCTCCTATCTAAAAAAACATGCTGTCCAGGATTGATTGGCGATTTTAAATTGTCCTTTTCTCTCTGTGGCCCTTCTGGACTGACATCTCTTCCAACAGCAGAGCCATCACCCTAATGCCCTGTGCTTCAAGGATAGGCTCCAGCTTGCTGTAACTCTCAATAGGATAAGCAGCTCACTGATAATGGATATATGGAATTACTACTCGGCACTGCAACACAGAGCAAAATTAAATTTGTGAGCCAGTTATTACACGATATTTCTATAGCAGTTTTAGAACAGCAATAACTTCACGCTATCATAGTAAAAAAAAAATCTTTGGAAAGAAAGCATTTATAGCGATTACATTTAAAAAAATTACTGTGCCTGAATCACACTGAGATGGGGTCAGAAAAACTATTTATCTTTGCTTTATAGAAAAGTATTTAATGTCCTAAGTTTTTGGATGGTTCCATAATTCCTGGGAGCAGAAGACTTAGATCAAACCTAGTTAGTTAAGGGTTCGATAGGCTTAAATGATTAATAGCAAAGTTGCAATGAAAACCAAAAGGCACAAAAGGTACTCCAGGACCAGCATTAGGATATACTGCCACACAGAGTGCACCTGAGCAAAAAAAAAATCACCATTTAATTCCAAATCTGGTATGTATCACCGACTAAATCAACACAGGGCAAAATGGGGTGCCTGTACAGACTGCTGCCATTTTATTTGTAAAATTCAAACTACCATTGCCTTGGGAACTGCTGTACCAATTCATCTGAAACTTATCACACCCCTTTTTAGGCTTACACCTCACAGGCTGCAGCGATATGTTATACACTCAAATAAGGCCATCTGCTCAGTGAAACTCGCTCTGCAATCCTAGCTGCTGCTGTTCAAAAACACTTAAGCCACTCTAAACATTTTAGGAATTGTGTTCTAGTGACAATGAAATTCACCTGCAGCAAAAAAAAAAGGTTTCTGCAAAAACCGGTTAAGATGTTTCCTACAGTGCAAACTGCCCCCGAGCAAAAAACAATTCTAAACTTTCTGTATACCCTACTACCTTGGTCTAGAGACCAAGCTGGCCGTATGAATGCAATTTTGCTCTCTCATCTAAAGCTACTGTTATTTTAGAAAACTCTAAACAAGCGGGATGTTTTCATCACACTAAAACCAACCAGGTTTGTACCTCACAAGCTGCAGGAATTGTTTTTAGAGCCATAAACTCTGGCATATCTCCGACACCACAATGGGGTGGTATGGTGTTCAGTCTTATGGTGATAGACCAGGCTTCATCAAATGCATTGTCAGGGTATGAAACTTATCAACAGTGAAGAACAAAGATGATCCAAAACTGAAAAACAAAAGCTTCTGCACTCTAATCTGACTTTTCAGGTCCCTAAATATTACTGACCAAGCATCACATTGGCTGTAAAACAACAAAACCAAACAATCTATATTCACTTATTTCTGCATAGAAAACCCACCTTGACCAATCCCTCTCTTGGGTGCTCATCTCCAGTTCTAGTTTTTCTTTCAAGGTCTGCCATCTACGACCTATATTAAGGGAGGATCTGCTTCCTACTCCCACAAAGTTGTTAACCAGCTCTCTAGGACGAATATATTCCCTGGATTTACTGTATACTGTCACCTGAGCAATCGCCTATAGGACAGAAAGCTAAGAATCAAGAGATGGCACACCACAGGTCATCGTCACGGGCTTTCAGGAAGTGAGACCCATTTTGACTTACCTAGGAGCATGCAAAAGTGCTTGTGGTTTTCTAGTTGTCACTAAACATGCTGCAGCATGACACAGCAAATAAATCACACAGAATACACACAAAACAATGACGCTTCTTTCAGATTATTTGTTTCCTATGCAGCAGTCTTGTGTGCATCCTGAAACCAGAGATTACATCACACTCAAAAAGATTTTAAAAGGGGAATTATCTTGTTTGGCTCCAAGCAGGCCAGTACTTTCAAAGAGAGGCAGGATGTGCTCTTCACAGATGGGCACCACAGGCCCGATGATGCCGTTAGCAGCTCAGATCAGCAGCTTTCTGATCCTCCTCCTTGAGAATTGAACCAGTGTACAACAAAGCACTTTTTGTGCGTCTCCTTGTGCTCCAAAACCCTATATCCTTATCTATTAATATGACATGATTCTCTTAGCTAGTAGCCACCCACAACTATTTCTGTGGGCTATGCACCTCACCCTGAAGCAACAGAAACAATGCATGTTTGTAATTAGAACATGTCTTTTAAGATACTTGGCTTTTTGAAAAATATTAACATTTAATACCATGCTTTGAAGGATTCCAGAGAAGTTTAACTTTGAATTTTAACAACTAAATGCTAATTCATCAATTACATCCCACTGGTTAGCCTACTTAAATTTATGTTTATAATGTACAGCATCTTACATGGTTTCCAAATGAAGGAAGAAAGATTTCAATATCTGGATCAAAATCTATGTTAATGATTCAGTCAGTATATTAAAATATTCCTATGGATTGAGAATGCAAGGATCTCAACTATTACCACAGAACAGCATTCTGATTAAGTTACTAAACTGGGTTAAATGCTGCAAGCATGTGTTTCACAAGGAAGTACCCTATGTTTCTGTTGGTCATTAGAAGTTAAGAGGTACTTCCTGTTTATACCAGGTTGTCTCCCATGAACTTTCTTGTGCACTACTCTATTAACTTTGTGGAGAGATCTGTTTTATCCAAGCAAACAAGCGAGTGCTGTAAAGTGTTTCAGTGATAATAAATTCGCCAAATTACCTTGTCTAGATTGTGAATCATGCTTGTGTGGCAGTTCAATATATGTATGTTATGTTCTGGAGTCCAAGAAGCATAAAGTTTTGCAAAATCATTTTACATCTGATCAACATTAACAGAATTGCAAGGGAAATCATTATCCAATACTGGAATATTGGAACAAGAAATCTTGAGCTACCAGATTATTTGAAAAGGTATTAAAACAAAGGTTTTCAAAACCAGTTTCAAAGAAGTCTCATACATTTTACCCCCTATGGCTAGTTGAGTGCTTTGCGTTTCTCATACCATTTATATGCGGTTTCTGTGACCGTCTGATGTTTAACAAGGAAGATATTTGCTTAGTGCCCTGCAGATTCTTACCTTTGCGGAAGAGCTCCTGCAGGCTCTCAGCACTCTGGCTCAATACAGCCCAGACTTCCTCCTCCTGCAGCGGCCCCCCACGCACCTCTAGAGCTTCTGCTAGGGACACGTGCATTTTCCCTGCTTGAGAAAAAAGGGGAGAAGTCACAGTCATACTACATTCCTTTCAAACCACAACCACATCCACTCCAGTCCTACCATGTGCGTCACACAAAGCGTTACCAGGATACAGCAGTTCAAGCCACATTCGGTCAGCTAATGAGAACACAATCAAACTGTGGGGGCCAGGCAAACCCGTACACTGTGCTTTAGATGGAGAGCAAACCAACAATCAAAAGTAAACCTACCTTGGCACAATAGAGAACATTCAAACTCTCTAAAGGAGAATAAATCTCCTTTTAAAAAAATCAAGATGCCAAAAAACATTTGATGTAGTAAAGCAGTGGATTAATAATTTCATTATGAACATTTATCTTTACCATCTCAGACATGATGGGCATGCACAAAAAAAGATAAATCAAAGAATTAAAAGCTAGAGCTTAAAATGGAGTCAAAAGTGCTGACTTGCAAAATCTAATAGGAGCTGGCAGATCATTCCATTTTGGGAACATCAGATATGAAATGATCACCCAGCACACAAGAGTCTCTCACTGGGACCTGAAAGAATCCAAAGAGTGCTGTATAGGGGTATAGGGAGTTAGTTCATTGATGTATTGCTTTCACACTCTTCAAGGTGAACTTGAGGAGACTAAGCAAAGCCTTTGGTACCTAAACCCACTATTAATGGACAGAGAACACTTAATACTCCTCAGTTATTGCTTGAGCTCAACTGTAATTCTGTTCAGAGGTATTGCAAGCTGATGGTCTCTTTGATCTATTGTGCAAGGCTAATGAACTCATGTACGAAACATAAAAGGTAAAAATGCCAATATATACAGAATATATGGAGACAAAATAGATCAAAAGGATAAAACAGACTTCCCCTTTAAGACCAATACATTAATTAATTGCATTTCCATACGATTTCATGAACAGAAGCCAGAATTTCACATTGCAAGGTCAGCAATAATGTTAAACAAACCTTGTCTACGGTAATCACCCATCAGCAGAAGTCAATGTTTTTTTTTTAATCATCTTTGTACTGCATCAAACAAATGTGCATGCCTGGGCTCGTATACAACACAGACATGCAAGGCAAAGTCTTACATCAAACATCTGAGAGGGAAGCAATCCATTAATGAACTCTTCTTGCATTTTTCACACTTAATCTGGTGTGAAGACTAGCTGAAGTATGTACAGATTGAAAAAATACAGGTTTGCATGTCTTTCCTTTAGTCACTGGTCCATAAAATAAACATTTGAAGGTCTCAAGTGGACCAAACTGGCTGCTTGAAATGCTCAAGAACTAGAGGCATCAGAAATATTAAGCGAGTATGGTCTTAATTTTATGTCGAGAGCAACATTGTAGTGTGCAGCAAGTTATGTCCTAGGAGTACCAAAAATTAACATGTCACTCATTCTTCATCTTAATACTCACTCAATACTTTTCTCAAGTCATTGCGGCTTATTTTCCCACAGCTCATTGTTAAAACTGAAGGTCTAAAAAGCTTGTCCCATCACCTCTTCCACAATGCTTTCAGCTTAGTATCGCAGGCATTAGGCATCTTTTAAGCTCTAAAAGTGGTGATTTTTATGGAAATAGAAGAAAATGCTTACAATATTTCAAAAGAAAAAAATTAAAATGTTGTGCATAACTAAACAACGTACTTTGCAACAACAAATTCAAGACCATTTTAATAAGGAAGAGCACCAAGTCCTGTGACACTGCAGCAAAGGGAAAGTGCTCAAATGGGGCCCTTATGTATACAGTCATGCTATAACTCCCCTCATCGCACAGCATATTCACAATGTAACTCGCCTTGTAGGACTGTATACAGTTATGATTTAACTTCCCTTGTCAGACAGTATACAATCGTACTGAAACTTTAGTTGTCACACAGTACATTTGTAGTGTAACTCTCTTTCATACCATACACAGACACACTATCTCCCCCTTGTCATGCACCACATTTACAGAACTCATGAGCAGCTTTATTATTGTTGTATTACACCTACTGTATTAGTAAGTACAATTAATTTCAGCCTACAGTATGCCTTATAGTCCACAATGCCTCCCAGAAGTTATATTTTTGCCTCACCTGGCTTTTCAAAGCAGTGCAAGGAAGATACCGAGATATTATTCAAGCCTCCACAATAGTGTTCGCCTCAAGTACAAGGAGGAACTACCTTAAAAACAAAGGAATGCCCAAATGTACAGGAATGGTTAGGTCAACAGGAGTTGAGAAAGTAGTACTGCATGTATTTTCAACCCGGGCTGGCTGGTTTTGCATCTTTTTTTTTTTTTGGACACGTTGTTGAAACCTGGTAACAAGAACCTGGTAACATGGATTGCATCATTTATTTTTTACACCATTCATGTGTTTTAAATGAGTAATTTCCCCACCAGCATGTGCCTCACATATTGCAATGTAACCAAGACAGATTACATTAGTTTATGCATCACTAGGAAGTGAAGTTTCAAGAAACATTCTAAACTTGTAACCAATATTCTAAACTTCTATACTGAGTTTCAAAATAAACAACTTACTCTTGCAAATTAAAACAAATTAACAGAAATTAAAAACTGTAGCAGTACACTGATTTATTGAACAGACTAATTTAAAATGTGCCTTATTTAATGTTTACCCACAGGGTGTTAAATGTAAAACTCAGACTAGAAGTGGGTGTGGCCACCACTGGAAGCAATACTGGCTGTACAATCGGCACCTCATGCTTTGCATCAGGTTACAGGCACTGTCTTGTGGGGATTCAGTTCCTTTCCTCTCACAGCCTGAACAAGCATGTGCATGTTCACTGGTCTAGGCTATGGATGTCACACTAAAGAGGAGGCTCAAGTCAGATGAACAGGGAAACCACAACATAACTATCACATTCTCATATTGCACGGAAGCCTTTGTTAAACACGTAGAATGCGGATGTGTGGTATCCTGCTGAAACATTTGTCACTTCACAATGAGTCTGCAGGAAGGGCAGTACATGAGGGCCCAGGACTTCCCAATCCCAGGATCAGAGTATCACCATTCAATCAGGCTGCCATCAGTCTCAAGTGAACTTCTGTAGAGATCAGTCACTCCTGCACAGTCACACCTGATGCTTCTCAATACGCCTACCATACAAAAAACACCCAGGTGCTCTTACAGTTAACCCCCTATTCATCAATCCATTGCAAATGACATTACAAATGTCAGTACACTACCTATAAAAAATGATTTTGCCATTTTACAGATAACTTTTGTGAATTTGTTCCAGTTGGGATAGGTTTCTTTCGATGCCGAGTATGGAAAGTAAAACACAATCAAGCCATGAAGTCAATAGTATTGAGCTCCCCCCACCTTTCAGATAAAATATCTTAATCAGAATTGAACAACTTGCTTTTTACAGGAGTTGTAAAATCAAATCTGTACTTGTAACTATTTGGAAATTGTACTGCTGCAAATAATTGTACCATAGGCAGTAAGACTATTTTCATCATTTGTACTGCAATGTTTTTTTGGTGAGCAAAACACTGAACTTGTATGTGTCTCTTCTATGGACATCTCATAATCAAATCTCAAGTGTGCAATTTTAATGTGAACCTGTTAATAAGCGAAAGGCCAAGAGCATTTGGGGGGGGGGGGGGGGGCATAATATAGATCCATAAGAAAAATGTCACAGAAATAGAAAAAACTAACAAAATAAAACAAAATTAGAAACAAAAAACTATTTGGTCCCTTTTGAGTACACTAAGGGGCTCATTAGGTGGTAACAGAGAAACTTGCCTTACCAAATGTGATCTTAAAATGTTACTCAAAAGGCAACCACATCTTCATCTTGCTTATTATGCTGGAAACTACAGTAAGTGCTCTAAGAATGTACCTACCCAGCAACCTTTATTCTATACACTACACACTGCGCACACACTTTTCATGTCATGGGTTGTGGGAGGACAGAACAAGCTTCCCAGGCATGTGGAAGTCCGATACCCTGCCATTTTTCAAGAAATGGTTGTAGAAAATCTTTGGATCAATAAGCTAGTAACTACCACACAGGCAAGATGGGCCAAATGCCTTCCTCTTGTTCAAAAAAACTCTTATATACATTTTTCATCGCAAAACAATAAGACAGCTCCCATTACAATGCATTGTTCCCAAAACAACTGGTGCGTATTTGTATATATAAATCATTTAAACACTTGCCATTCCTGAAATGACCAGATTCATCACTGTACGAGACCTGTGAAATCAATTTAGAAATCAATTACACTCCAACTAGCAGAGCTGATTCTACTTGAACATAGGTCCTTCACATAACAAGGAGCTAGCCAAGCTGACTTTGATTAATAAATACAGTATTTGAAGGAAAGCAGCAACCAACACAAATGGAATATCATGCAGCAAGGGAGCTTATGGATCACCAAAGGAAGGGATATTCTCTGAGATTTTCAGAGGTAAATAGCAAGATGATTTTTAATGCCATTTTCTTAATGGCATTCTTCAAAAAAAAGAGCAAATTCCCACTAACTATGCTGGACAGTATGTGTGCTTCACTAAAGCAAAAAAATAAACACCACAATAACAGCAAATATGCATTGAAATAATAAGTGTAGTAACAAATTAAACAACACAAAAACAAATGAGAAGTCAGCAATAAGTCAAATCTACAAATAAATCCTCCTCAAAATGGAACTGATTTACTTTTAACTTTTGGAGAAGCTCATTCCAGTTATATGAAGAACAACAAGTATTGATGCAACCAACTAGCCTGACTTTGAAACCACTGTATTCTGGTGTGTTTTAGGGAATCTCAATGATCTAAAATCTTTTAAAACCCAAAACGAGTGTTTAAAAAAAAATCTTCTACACAACTGAAAACAAAGCCTGTCCATGTTTCCTCGCACTGTTCTTATATGGTCTCTGAAATCAAGGGTTATCAGCCAAATAAGAGAGCCCCACGGTCACACTGTAAAGGAATTTGCACTTGGTTTGTTTTCCTGGCCATTTCCTGGACTGCCTATCCATCACAGG